AAGTGCTTATAAATTTGGACATTCGTTGTCCAGATTTTTGGAGATGACATTCCCCGCCGTCAAATTTTCCGAATGTTATGGCGTCCATATGTCAACACCCCGATGCAATCATAAATAAAAATCAAGCTTTGAGAGCTTTACACATGAGAATAATTTACTTCGAAGTTTTTCCTGAAAATAAAGGATGGATAAAATTACGGCGAGGTGAGAATGAATGCGTGACTATGTACGAGTATTGTACTTCAGCAAAAACATGGAAATTCACTGAAAAAATTTTCAAAAAAGACGTACCGACAAGTGAGAACCCTTTAACGAAAAAAAAGTAAGAAATGATGCCATCTTAAAAATGCGAAATGCAAAAGAAAGCAGAAAATATCTCCGATAAAACATGAGACGTGACAGAGGCGGCGGAAAACAGAATAATTGTACCAACGTTTCCTAAAAAGCAATACTTGACAAGGAAATGGTCGGAATTTAATAGAAGGTAATATTTTACTTCGACTATCCCTTGACTTGTTCTACATCACGGCATTTTTCTTTCGACACACTTCGAGATCACCCCCATGTCCTTCCAAAAATAAGCCAGAAAAAATGAGTCAAAATTATAGTAATCCTGGCATAATTACTGCTTTTTTCAAAAGTTTTTGGCATCCGTTCCAGAACAAAAAACAAAATACTGTACTCGTATATAGAATCCAAGGAAGACTTGAGAAATTTACTGCATTTCTCACATCTTTCGTACAAGGTCACCTCATCGTCGTGATTCTATGGAACAGGGTTCAGAAATTGAGGGCCACATCAGCAGCAGTGACTCACGCGTAATCATTCACGCAATGCGCCGCAGTGGCCACGAGGTGGGGAGAGATGAGCACTGCACCACAGACGTACACGTCGATGGGCTGACTTCTGCCTATTGTGTCCTCTCGCAACAAGGCAACCATCCACGGGAATTCTCCATATTGGGCCTGTTGTATCTCGGCACTTCCGGCCAAACGCACGCCGACACCATCGAAATTCCTGCGCCCGCAGGGTATTGGCTCTTGAAAATAAATAAATAAAAGAAGAAGAAGCCCAGTTGACGAAGGGAAATGAACTTGTTCTTTGATTGTTGTATTCCGAAATATGAAAATCCAGAATGATGCATCTAGCGTGTATTTCAACGTGAAGAGAAAAAATACGGAAGTTTATGAAGGAGATACAAATATAAATAAGGCTAATTTTTTCTTCGCGTTGAAAAATGCCCTCGATGCACAATTCTGGATTTTCATATTTTGCTTTTATGATTCTTCCATGGAAACTTCTCAATTTATTCTTGATATACTGTACTGTGCACAGATGATGGGAATTAATAATAAATAAGCACAAAATTAGCGTAGTTTTGATAATGATTTTAGTCACTTTACAATGAAATTCATTTAGATAATTTCTCAAGGTAAATACAGCAGCGCGATTTCTTCAAGAACTACAAAAATTTAGAAAAATTATTTTAAATTCTTCCAGAAATCTAGAAAAAATGTATGCATCTCGAGCCACTGTCCGAATGTTGGGGGGTAGATTTTTCGAGTTTCAAGTGTCCCTAAGTCGAATCGTCCATATGTAGGGGGTGTCCGTATCTCGGGGTATCACTGTGATTCGACAGAGTAATGCTCGTCAGCGTCGGTCGTGTATGAGAAGGAGGCTTTTTCGGCCTAAACGGTGAAAGAAGCCTCACCTGACAGCGCAGGAGGTTCTCGAATCGTGGGCGGGACCGGTTTGTAGGCGATCGACGGAGGTGTGATTGTTGCTTCAGACGAAGAATTCGTTTCTGACGAAGAACTGGTTGTTTCAGGTGAACTACTTTGGCTCGCTGAAGGTGGAACGAGGGAAACTTGAATCAGGCAATCGACATCCTCGCCGCAAAGATCGGTGAAGCTGCAGCACTCGAAATAGTCGACAGAGCACCGGTTTTCCTGAAATTAATCACGAGAGTGGGCTGATTAGAAATGAAGAACACTGAACAACAACGAAATGAATGCTGGAATGCGAGATTCAAGAAATGCTGCTGCGCTGCAATAAGTGACTTCACTCCGACGAGGATCAGAATTTTCAACAATTTATTTCATAAGAACTCAGCAGGAAATTTTCACTGGCAGTATATCTGCAGTTTTTTATTCGAAGGTTCGGTGGCGAGACCAATTTTGTTTGAAATAAAATTGTCAACGAACGAGGGTTTTCTTCATAAGGGGACGTAGTTCTCACACGAATCTTTATTCAAGACATCGCAGACCAAAAATGAATAAATTTCAGTTCATAAATTACAGTACTACCTTATAATAGTTTTTAAAACTTTATTTGGTGGATAAAATCATTGAAAACATGAAATGAAAAACAAAATGAGGGCGTCTCAAAGTCTACGAAACATCCGAGAAATTTTCCTTCTTACCTTTTTCCGGCGACATTTGGACTCAGAGGGGAATATTTCTGAAAACTCATCGAGTCAGGATTTTTTAAGCAGCTTGTTTTAATATTACTGCACTTGGTAAAAAAAAACAGCTTCAAGAACCGGTAGTAAAACATCTGTTTTTATGGCCTAATAGGAATCTCGAAATATATTTAGCTTCCATATTTCTTGCAGATTTTAACATTTTATGCTTTTTCATTAACTTGTCACAAGATTAACGTATAAGTTAATGCACATGCCCAAAATGTATTCCAACACATGGCATAGAAGTTTACGACTACAAGAGTTTTTGCAATTGTATCAAAAACAATGCCCAGAGGCTCGCGAAACGTTGGAGGAATCCCGGATGTCGTTGATCAGAATCCATTAAAAAATTACTCAATTTGAATTTGTGATTGTTTTTTTTTTTAAATCCGTTCGATACTTCGTCTTTCTCATTTGAGTAAAATTATGCAGTTTCAATAAGCATTCTCACGTACCTTGAAATCCAGGTTGTTCTTGATGTCGATGGCTTCAGCACAAAACCCGGCTGTTGCGGTGTCATTGCAGCAATTGTAGAAAGGCACGCATCTACACGCGTTTTTAACCTCGTAATCCGTCAATCCTTGTTCAGCAGGGACCAGAGCATTCAAATCGGTTTCCAGGCTTTGTTCACGTGCAGTTGCTTGACGTTTTTCCCTTTCTCCACCTTGGGTTGTTCAGATGAAGAAAATAAATGACCAGGAGAAAACTTCCATCAGAAAATCGGGCTTCAAAATACGAAATATCTATTTTGAAATGGTTTAAAAATAGATACTTGTATCTTCATGGCGTCCTCTAGAGATTTTATCAGGATCAAAAAGTTTCGAAGGACGAGCCTTTCATACGAATTCACCGAATATCTCGAAAAAAAAAAAGTTTTGGTTATATTTTTGGGGCGAATAACTGAGTTTCATCAAGAATGAGGAAATCTCGAAATATTTTCGAGTACGTATATATGTTGCTGGGACGGATGGAGTTGCGATAAATTTAAAAGCAAATTGGCAAAATTTTTTTCTCGCGAAGAAATCTTATCATTCAATTCTTTTTCCAATTACTGCTCCATTTTGATACTGTATCTTCTTTGAAATTGGCTGCACTTTACACTACATTACTTAGTCAAATATGCTCAGATTCCTTCCAAAAGGATTCAAACCTTCAAATAACTGGACTGTTTGCATCACATGGTATACAGATGTCACCACTTACCATGCGCACTATTCTCAGGTATAGACGTACTGTACAGTATAGTACAGCACTTCGATAAATATTTGCTGAACTTAGATTCCATCAAATTAGGCTTATTCAATTAAGGCAAACCAAATGATGGCAAAGATCCGAGGATGAACGTATGGTAAATACTGTATAATGAAGTTGATTGATATCTTTTCAATATTTTGGTGTTTTGTATACAACTTCAAATAATACTGTTTTACACCTCTACCGTTCTGGACATGGCCTTATGCAGCAGTGCGTACTGTACGCAATTTTCGTCATTGTGCTGCATAAATTTCATATGCAACATCATGAGTTTCTTCCACGTTTTAATTTAATAATGCAAATGTATATTAAATGTATTCTGTTAATGAAGTCGTTAGTCGAACTCGAAATCCATCGTTGAATTGCCTAAATCTTTCGAATTATCAGACAGAATCTATAATAAAATGGCTTTAAATTTTCTGGCTTATGTTATGATAGTTAATTAAGTTTGATTTATGCAGATTTTATTTAATGGGATCACGGTGCGACGAATCTAGCTCACGACGAAGAAATAACTTCATCTACGTATAGAAAATGCATTCGGCTTTATTGCTCTAAATTTTACTACAAGTGGACTCTTGAGAATAAATTCTTGGAACCGGAAGAAAATCGTTGTAGAGCGAATTTTGTGGTAGAAAACTCCCTCAACATATGGATAATAAACCCTACAGAACAAAAAAAATCGTCATGCAGAGAAAATCGTTGTAAACAAGATCGTTGCAGAGAGAGTCTACATGTAGTGTATTTCATTATAGTAATAGGGATAGATTTAATATTCCAGAAATGGAGAAAAAAGTCAGCGCGGAATAAAATTGATCATACGCACCTTGAGATTTATCCAAGAAATGAATAAGCGGTTCATTTCTTTTCACGTAGCCTTCGTGAACCTGAATCGTACTCGGATGAAAGTTTCGCACGGAACCCCAACAAAATTCGAAACACAGACAGATAATCAATAATGAAAACACTGTCGTGTGGACTTCCTTCACTGAAGGCTGACCCATTCTTCACACTGATTCCCAAAGAACTGACCCCAAAGGCGGGAATCCAATCGACGAGTATTCCTTGCCCCCAGGCTGAACCGCGAAAACGTTAGCCCGAGAAAAACATTCAAGCAGAGAGAAGTGGAATAGGTTTAAAGAATCCGGATTATCATTCGCGGGATTTCCCACAGAACGAGAATTTCTTCTATTGGACAATGACACCATTATTACGCCGTACCTGAATTCCGCAGCTGGAAACAATGAAGCCGCTTCAATATTTCTTTCCCCCGGATTTAACGCATCGGTACGATTTGTTTTTTAGAACAAAACCTTTGCGATTGCGTGTAGGAATTACTTCAGTATGCAACATATTTGCGGAAGGATTTTCGATGGAGTTTTTTTTTATATTAGCTGAGGGAAGCGGCATTTTATTTTTATGTTCTAAATTAATTGCAGTAGAAATCCTAATACATTCATCAAACTACAGGCAGGGCATATTTTTATTTTCATCAATAAATACCGAGATGTGAATCCTAGTCATGTTGTCATTGAAAAAATCAAAGGCCGTCGAATCACAGCTTCTCAAAAACTGATGTGGATTATTGAAGAGGGATTGGAAATTCAAACAAGTACATCATCGGGGGGCAACCGATGCCCTATATATACAATAGTAGTGCGATGCACTTCAATGCATAAAATCGACGAATGCTTTGAAGGAGTTCCAAGGCTTGATATTCATTATTTTATTGTGCTAAGAGTCTTGAGAGTGACTGCCAGCAAGGTTCACTTTAAGCCTTTTTACGCTCCGATTATTTTTATTTGCTGACGGATGCAATAAAGTTATACATTGTTTGACATAATGAAAGTACTGTACATTATTTGAATAATGAAAATGCTGTACAATAATCACTTGCCTGTGACGAGCTCAGAAGATTTCGCGGAACTGTTCACTGTACAACGTACTGCGCAGTATAGTGTATACAGTAACGGAAATGAACATCGGGGCAAAAGTTTGAAGCAGCGACACTAATGAGCAAAAGATAGAACTATACGCAGGAACACTTTATGCAATGCACTAGGTGCCGCTCGAAGAAACGAGAAATAAGATAACTTCTGCACCGTTTCCAACAATTTTGTTATGAATTACAAAACATTACTCAGAAAGTCAGAAACCACACGCGTGCAAAAAGTGCCAACGACAAGAGATTTGTTTTCCAGAGTAAGAATAATCTGGAAAAATACAATTGGAGATGGCGAAGAAAATCTCAATTTAAATGTTTCATCTATAAATTCTCACAAGATCAGAAGACAAAAATGAAAAAAAAACAATAATTAATCAGAACGATTTATATATGCATTAGCAAAAAATAAATTGAGAAAAATACGCATTGTGGTGAATGGACGAGTGGAGCTACGTCAGTGATGTACTCAATGTATAGTACTGTACTGTACAAGTGTACACGCTCAAATGGGGAAGTACGACTATACGAGTTATCGAGGTTCATCTATATTTCCTGCAGGTAGAAAATCTATGAATGATGACCACTTGAATTAGTGCCGCCAAATTAAATGTCCATGGATTAACCTACCCAAATAAAGCCAAATTCTCAAACTCAAAAAAAACTTCGTAAATCGTATTTTTTTAGAATGCGTTGAAACCTAACCTGGAGAGGTTGAAATACATTATAACTGATGATCCACAATAAGAAAAAATAATCTGTCCGCTGCAATTATTTTTCTCATGATTTTTCGAGCTATTCATGTCCTAGCTATTATATTGGAGTCAATCACGCAGTGGAAACGGTAGCTAGGAAAGACAAACGTCTCGTCTTGCACATTATATTTTTGAACTTGAACCATCCTTTCAAGAAGTCTTTACACATTTTGTGGAAAATTTTTCTCGTCCTAAAAGCTGCGAGTGGTGTATCCCAGAAAGTTTCAAAAAAGTTCCAAGGAATGAATTCTTTGTGAAGTTCTAACCTCCATAATGTTGGAAAGAATATGGTTCCAAAGCTTTGAGCACTCGCCATGGATCCTTGTTTCTTCTTCGGCTGTCCTTGAACGGAGGGTCAAGAGCGAACTGAGACACAAGGTCAGGGGAACTCAACAAGGCCCAACCTGATTCACAAGCAAAGCTGAAATTTCGATCCGTGACACAGTACGACTTCGCTGGCATTTATACATCCAACAACAACACACAATTATAACCGAGGAACTATACGTGCCTGTCTACAGGTGTACTCTCTCGATGTACAAGGAAATTCAAGCGAAAAAAAACTCTTTGTAGAGAGGTTTTCGTTGCAGAGGACCTACAAGATACGGAGAGAAGCCTATGGGACCCAACAAAAATTCGTTGTACTGAGAAATTCGTCGTAGAGAAGATTGTTGAAGAGAGACCTCCAGCTATATTACATTTTATCAGAGCTTGGGAAACCCCTGGCTTGTGAAATCAGACAAGTTTTCTGTTTACAAAAATGAAAGATAATAATGGGAAGTCCGAACGCCGGGAACTTCTCGACTTCTGGTCAGAGACTGCATTACTCATTCCAAAAAACCCATACAAGGAGGTTTAAAATTTAGCAGGCAGTATTAATGCCCAACCGCAAGCTCAAAACTACTACAGACCTCTTCTTCACGTTACTTACTCCTCACGACAACAAAAATGTGCACAAGGTTTTTTTGTGTTTACGTGTAGCAGCATCGAGAGTCACTTGCTCTTGATGGTAACAATTTTTTTAAACTGCAGAACGAAAAAAAAATGCACGTTTCATTTGAAAGGAAACCATTCTGATTTAATCAAAACAGGAAACTTTCCATTTAGCAAACAGTTCGAAAGTACAAGCTCATTTCCGCTATATTTCGTATCACTCATGTATTGAAGATTCTGTAAAAAAAATAGTGCACTGCAAAACCAAGGCAGCAGAATGCATTGATGTCAGAAATGTTTGAGTTATCACAAGAACAAAGCCCACTCGTGAACGGGAAGTTCAATTTTGAACACAAGAGACTTCCCATGGAATTCAGACTATTATAAAAAAGTATTATGGTAGTTACTTCAGTAAGAAAAATCCAAGAAAAATCTTTAAAAAAATGTCAATCACTTGTCTAAACATAGTTGGGGACATTTTCTTACACCTCAGCCTAAAATCGGTCTGCTTTTTTGATCTGCCCCATGCGAGCTCAATGCGGAATCAGAGTCAGTTTTGCATGGCTCAAGCCCGTAAAAATAGAACCCATGCGAATGCATTTAAAAAAAAGAAGAAACGAAATGACATTTTCCGTTTTTTGTTTTGTTTTTCAATGAAACAGGAATGTTTTATTGAAGCAACGCGCAATCAGCCATCCGCATTCCCGAAATTACCTCGGAGCGGCACAACCGGGCAATCCATCATATACTTCCGGCGAAAATTCCTTCATTTCCCTTCCGATGCAGAGAGATTAACTCAAAAACAAGAAACGATGAAATCATCAATGATCAGCGGAAACCCGGATTCCCGAGAGGACACGAATGAATTTCCGGACACACACATGAGGGACTGCCGAATCACGGGACCAGCGCAATCCACAAAAGGTAGGGAAAATATTGATGGTAAAAATTGCACCGAATGAATACAAAAAAAATTTCATTCTTGTCGGCGAACCCGACAAGGTGCTGGTCGACAACGAGGAAACAAAAAGAAAATAATAACAAAACAAAACCGTAACATGAACCGGGTTCGTTCTTGTCAATTTCAAATCTGCTAGATATCGAGTTCTCGAGAAACCCTGTGACTTCAACGGCATTAACCCGCAAGAGTTAATTTCTGACAAAATCTCGGTAAAACATGGGAGCAGTAGTTGCGCTATAGAAAATCATTCAAAATTCCTTCATCAGGTACCAACAGGGATTGCAGCGATGACCAGCACAAACTTGCTCTGAAAACACCGGTTTTTCTTCTCCGATGGAATTGCCAACCGTTACTGGGACTGACCAGCACGCATGCCAAGAACGCAAAAAACCAAAAAACAGGACGAAAACCGAAAAAAAAAA